TATTATTGTTGTGGGCGTTTTTGGGAGGGTATAAAGTGTTTGAAACATGGTTTGCGACATTATTTTTCGCTTTTTAGGAAAAGTTTCGGGAAGATGACATTGGAATGGAATGGAAAATATTCCTACCTTTCTGCTTCACTATATTATCTAGCATTGGAAGAGCTGAGAACCACCAACCGAAACTATATTTTCTACCCAAATTCGAAATATTACGTGGAAATGAGCATAAACTAGAGTTAAAACGAAAAAGTAAAAAAAATCATGTTTTAGGTGTTTTATGTGGTATACTACCTACGTTTGTGTGATGACCACTAAAATGTGCTTCTCTAGTTTAGAATACATATATAACGATTTGTCCTTTACTCGTTGGAAAAATACCAGAGGAAAAGCAACATTTAAAGTAGACCGTTATATATTTAGCTGCACTGCAATGGTTCCAAAGTTTGTTGAACAAAAAGTCTCATACTTAGTTACTGTATCTAAAAATCATCCTATATCCAGATAGACCTGACCTAAAATAGCTTTCCTTTGACCCACAAGGACAAGGTACAACATGTACTGTTTATGTGTTATCAGTACGAACACTACGAACTCTTCTGCAGCGGCCCAGTTACAATGTTGGTCATTCAAGGATCGCGGATGCTCAGTATTCTCAACACACTTCGCGATGTGTAGCTTATGTCCAAGAAAGGAACGCACGAGTCAAGGACTTCCAGTGTTTTTATATTTACATTCCACTTTGATACTTCTTTAAATGCCAAGACGAGAAGAGCGAATGCAAAATAAGGTAGCAGACATTTTGCATTTTCAAAGTCTCGAGGTATACCCAGGCTGGTATTACTTTGAGTATTGAAAAATATAATTGAATATCTGTATATATTTTTTGCACTTTAATATGTGTCACGGGTTTAGCTTTTGAAGTTAAATATAATTCAATTGTCAATCGTTATTACTGTAGTTCCTTCAGAGTTGACAATTTAATACAAAATCATTCTAATTTTAATGTTAATTTTAATCTTCGTTTAGAACCAATTTTGCGGCAATTTAATTTTTTTATTTACTTTCATCCTCCCTTTGTCTGTAACCAGACTTCAGCACCTTCAAAAAAGGAAGTATTTTCTATTTTAGACTCCTTAGTAGTTTTTGACCAACCGCTACAAAATTCACTCTATGATAAGAGAAGAATGTTTAGTAAACGCTTATAACTATACCGGTATTCATTGAACAGGGTGAGAAATTTTTAAATAGAAAGGTGAATTTAGTTCTTGCTTTATCCTAAGTCAATGCTACTGGCCGACAATTGTTTAGTTAACACCAGCATCAGGTTGCGATGTATTGATAAATTCTACTAGAATTGTAGAAATTGCAATTTCTACCTGTGTCCAGTATCCAAAGTCAACGACGAAACGCACTCGTACGAATTACGTAAGTGATTACAGTACATATTACAATATTGAATGTACCGTCTGAAGGGAATCCATATACCACTACTTTAATAATAACTAATATGTATGGAAGAATCGAGAAGCTGTCAGTATAACAACCAACTATTTAAATAGTGTAAAATGCTCAAATACACGTAAATTCCTTTGGAATTTAACACATTTATCATGTAAAACTATCAGACAGAGCAAGTTAGTTGTTGCTAATAAAGATACAAGTATAACCTACACAGTTAATTAAAAACACAAAACTTCCGTTTCAAACATCTTGGAGTTGCATCAAGGGCCTCTGTTATTGAGTTTCAAAAGACCCCATTCACCTGCACAAGGGTGGGGCTTCGCCCAACCCCTCGCGCCTTGCACACCCCACAGTTCTGTTGGAAAAACTGGGTCTGCTGACCATAAAACTAGATTGAAATCACATTGTTGTGTCCATTATTGAGACGTTTAAGGCTATAACTATAGACTACAATGAAATGTGATTTTGTAAACATACATTTTTGTATCTTCGACTGTTCCGAGGTGTATGAGTCATGAGTGCATTACTATGCGAGTATATTTTTTGTAGGGTTATTAGAATTAGGGTCAATACTTTTGTACTAGTATTTAAAAATGCATATAACTCAGCATCAATGGGCTTATTTTGACAGCCAATAAATCGATGTTAGCATGCGATGTTTAGAGAAATGTTTACAAACATAGATAACAAACAAACATAGATGACGAACTTTGATTACAAACTGAGATAATACTCTTATCACAGAGACAAATGCTTCTCTGTGCCCTTTTGAAGAAAAACATTCACGGAGATTTAAATTCTGAGTTTAGGTTACATCATACATTGGGATCACATAATCGATTTAAGAAATTACATTTTATTTTGGCTATTTTGAGAAACCTCGTTTGTCCATATTTTTGACGGAGATGTAGGTACTGTACTCAGCTTAAAGGGGGAAAAAATATTTTAATTCACGGAAAAGACGATATTGGATATTGTATATTTGTGTATATTTGGATATTGTAACTTCAACCTATAAACTGGAATTCTAAAATAAAAACCAACTTTTGCTGGATCACTAATTCTAAGGAAATTGCCTGCCTCTATAAAGGAGGAATCAAATTATAAATTATTTAAATCAAAATTTAAAAAAACATTTAATAGAAAAGGCGCCTTATACAATGGAGGAACTCATTGAATAAATACCTATTCATACTTAAAATGTATTTATATCTTTAAGCTAGTTAGTACTTTATACTTGACACTATTTTTGTACCCATGTACATGTAAGGAAAATAAAGATGTTTTGATTTGAGACGAAAGAGATGTATAAGCCAATACAGTAGTAGGTTAGTCCTAGCAAACAAAATGTATGTACTGTACAAAGATTTTTGAGAACATGTCACCGATTTCAATTCAGACGTAGTCTATAACTAAGCTTCTTACCCCAACCTACCTTTAGTCATCAAATTAACCATGGCCCCCACATTTAATTGTGGGCCCTGTTACCAGGATCTGGCTCGGGCCCCCCTACCAACCGGGGGGTCGGGGGGGTATGGAATACCCCCCGGCGTAGAGGGGGGGTCCGGGGGTTCTCCCCCGGGAAAATTTTGAAAATGTCATGTATTTTAGTGAGTTTTTAATGCAATCTAGGTATTAAATTTGTGAGTGGTAAATGGCACTTTTGCAGCCTTTTTTAAGGAAGAAAGAGTTTTTCAATGAGTTTTATAAGACTTAAAATTACAGGAATTCAGCAATTAAAACTATTATATCAATACACAAAAGCTCCATGCCTATTAATATTTTGTCCTTTTTATTTCCCTGTAAAAGGGTTTGGCTATCTTAACTGCTATAATTGTACTTTGTAATATGGAGTAGGAAAAAACTTACGTAAATTGAGTTTAACAGCTTACACCAATGAAATCATATTTTATTCAGTGACAATTTTCATCAAGAATTTTAACAATACTACATTTTTTGGGAGTGGATGCCTGAGCTGCCGAACTTGCGCGAGTAGTACTCGCGCCGAGTAGTCACGGAGAAAAACGAATGTGCACGAGTAATGCCGAGAATGACCGATGCAGTAATGTTAACCGATTAGTAATGTTAATCAGTTCAGTATTATACCGAGTGAATTGGGAAGAAAACTTAGGTCAAAATTATTAGGCCTACAATCTTTCATATTTTTAAAACTCCAAAAGTAAAGAATTTTTAAGTTTGTGTCAAATAACCTAGATTGCAATTAAATTGAAATATTCCATACATAAAAGTGCAACCGGGACCAAATGTTGATAAAACGGGACAAATAAGCGTCCCGAGAGGATTTGTCTGGATGGACCAGTCCCCCTAAAACGGGACGTCTGGTCACCTTAGCTATGGTACATAGTACATGTCAATTTTTCAATGCTGTACAAATTTTATTTTAACTTATAACTATAAGAATTCATTCTTGAAACTATCAGTTCAATTATAAAACCAAACTTTGTTTATTATGGGGGGAATGAGGTAGGATTGGCTAGGCGCCTGGCGGGAGGAAGGGGTAGAGGGAGTTTGTGGAGCCGGCCACTGGGGCCCGAGCTGGCTGTTCTGCTGTTGTATAGTACTGTATTAGAGGTGGCTGTGATAGTACATACGCACCTATGCACATATAGTATTTAAATATGAACTTCCTTAGAATCAAGAATTAATACATTTTAAATTATTTAACTTAGTTTTTTTGTAAAATATATATATAAACTATTTTTTATCTTCAATTTATGATCTGCTGTAAAGTGATCTTCAATGGGGAAAAAAGAAAAAAAGGAAAAAATGGGTAGGCCCGGGCCCCCAGAGGGCCCGGGCCCTGTGACCAGAGTTGCGCCAGCCCCACCCTTGTGGGGGCCATGAAATTAACTCACGTGTAGATAAAAAATAGATAAATAGAAATGTTTTTTATCTGCTTTCCTGATCTTATCAAACAGATGCAAAATTATTTTTGCACTAAAACTCATCAGGATCAGAAGTACACAAATTGCAAAATAAGGTCGCATTAATCGATTTCTCTAATCCAACTGACAAAAATTGAACTATTTCACTGTATATAAAGTTACCTTAAATTGTATACGTATTTCATTAAAATTGAAATAAATTCTCGTATTTTGCGAGAAAGAATAAGTTATGAGATGAATACACAATGTGTTTGACTAAGCTGAAATGATTTGTAGTTTTTATCAATTCAGATACAGTACTAAATTATCAGTTGATGCGTTGACTTCACCAAACTAAAAACATACGTTAAATGAGCCGTTATTCTTTTATGAACCTGGAAAAACAATAAATTGAGTTCAGTTACAAATTGTGCTTCATGAATAAAATATTAGGTGAATAAAATGTGATCAGATTATTATTCTTGATAAGATAAAAAATATCGTTTTAAGGCAACAACTTGTTTAAACTACAAAAATAACTTAAACTGTTTCCCCGATTTAGAACAACAAATTTTGTATGAATCAACCGAACCGATAAGATGATACTTTACACACTCGGAACATTTAAAATATTACAGTAAATTAACTACTCACCCAGTTCCGCATAGCAGAGGGCGCCGATCATAGACAGCACTCCGGACAGTATCCATACGACCAGACCTAGACCGATGGACCCAGAGCTGACCAAAACTCCCTTGGGGGATACAAAGATGCCGGCTCCTATGATGACCCCGACGATGATGGCCACGCCGTCCAGGAGTCCGAGTTCCTTCTTCAGCTGGATGCCCGAGGAAGGTTTGTCTTCCACGGGGCGCATCGGCAGCAGCTCCGCGGCCGCCACCTTGTGCTCGCGCGGCATCTCTAGAACTAACCTAAACACTACCGCATGGCCGCACGAGGTTAGGGTGGGGGAATGGCGCGCTCGTTCCCGCGCTTTGTTCACACCATCAGCTGATCGCGTCTTGGCCTTGAGAATTCGATTGTTGAGTTACCTGCAATCATTGACTTTATAGTGTGCGTAGACTTATCGTTTTGTAAAACCTGTGTTAATGTGTTTCGTGTTGATAACGTTTATACTCGCTGATGTCCGACTACCTTTCTCTTATATTTTTTTTAATAGGGTATAAGTTACTGGTTATTGTTGTTTAGTCCTAAGATAATAAGAATAAGAGTTTTTTTTTAATTATATTTGGTTAGAATTAAATAACTTAAATCACAAATCAAACAATAATCGCTCTACAGTCCGGATTATAAATGTAAAATCGACAAGAGAGAAAATACTAATCTGCAATGCAAAATGCAATACGGCTAAAGGTGCAGCAAAACGACAATAACATAATGAAACTTAGTTCTAACTGATCACAATTAATTACTGTCTGAGCTTATTAACTTGTATTTTTACATTGATTTTTATTTTATGTAGTTAAGAAATAAAGGCAACATTAATATAAAAGTCCCAATATTCGTGTTGTTTTATCTTATCCAATATCCGTGTAGTGCAAATAATGGGGTTGAAATGAGGAATCACAACAAATAAAAACTCGTATTTATGAACTTGATGATTTGCTTTGTCAGTTTTTGTACTAATGCATTTTCAACGCATATTTTTTTAAATCATGAACATTCAGTTAACTTGTTTGAAAATCTTTTAAATATCCGACCTACACATAAAAAATTTAAATATTTTTAATTGTACGCCTAATTTAGTTTCCAGTAATCTTTGAACACTTACCGATAAAAATATGGGATTTAAATACAATTTGAGGTAAAATGGCGTGTATAACGCGGTAACTTTTTGAATAATTTTCGTCCTTGTTTCTACTCCAATGGCATTATTACTTCTTTTAAAGGGAGCTGTCCATAGTAACCTTACTCATCTTCGCCTTATACGCGCCCGTTGTGTCGGCGTCTTACAGATCTAATCTAATCTAAAACCAACACATCGAAATGAAACACTCCTCAAACCGGGCCTTACAACAGGACGAGAAGTCCACTTGTACTATCTAAAGTCAATGTTGCAGTGTAAGGACGATACACTATACACTGTGCTACACTACACACTATACACTGATCACTGCACTGATAGGTATATTCCCCTCTTCCCTTAATCACGAGGTTAATATTGCTGTTCCTGTTTGAACCACTCGACTCGTTCCCTCTTGTTATGATATTGGTTTTAGACATCAACTACTGTATTTTTGGCTACCAAAATGAAGGTATATGTGAAGAAGATGTCAACTATTTTACGAATCCTATAATTATGTTTATGAGCAATGTTTGCTTGTTTCTATCAAGGTTCCTTAGTCTATGTATGTATGCTTGCACAAAGATCTCAAAAACGGCTTCGACGATTTCCTTCAATTTTGTAAATAGTTAATTTTTGGCATAAAAACGTGTTTAAAATGCAGTTAAAACTGCCAACAAAAATCTAATTACGTAAACAAATGAAATTGAAAGTCAACACTTTTTAACATTGGCCTTAGATAAGTAACCATGTTGGTTGAACACAAGGAAAAAGTAAACAAAAGACTTGTAAGCTGTAACATGTGTTCATTATAAGCCATCCGCCCACAGTATACTAGCAAATAACAAAATACAGTACGAAAGTAAAAACATCAGCTGTTACTATCAAGCAAAGATTAGATTACACTGAATATAACTTGTAGGTGAAAAAGTTCCTAAAAAAGGTTCGATCAAAATACTGATTACTAGTGGCTTGTAGGGGCAGTAGCCCCTATGTATATATTGTAGTAATTATTTTGTACAAATTATTAGTCCCATGGGTTACCCTACCTTGATTATCGTTTAACATTATTGTCTATTATAATATGTATAATAGTTATTACATACCTGCATAATGCATTTTGAGGTCTGCTCTGTTAAAAATATTACAAAGGATTTTTCATGCGGTGTGTTTATAGTATAAACTTTCTAATCATAATACAACTAAGGATAATTTTCAATGATAATCTTCATGACTATTAATTAAATGTATATACATTTCTTTGAATATAGACAAATTCACTTAGATAAAATACATGGAGATAAATTTTTCAAATAAATGCCAATTTTTGTGAAAATTTTCCTTGTAAACTTAAATGGCCTATTAGGATCTGTGGATATTAGTATTATTTTTGGCATGGAAAATACGTTTCCTTTGCCTACTCCAGTAATTACTACTAACTTTTCCAGTAATACCTAACACAACCAATCGTACTCCATTAACTAATCCAGACCCTAGCTTCATATTTCTAATGAGCATCACTATTGAACCAACTTTTAAAACTAATTTGTGTGGTGGCATTCCAGATCGTGCAATTAAATTAATATAGTCAATTGGTAGGTTCAACCTCTCGGGTTAGTATACATATTACAGTGCATATTACATATTACCATATGCTTTAAATAAAGTTAAACCACATGTTTTAATGTAAACAAAGCAAACATGACCTAGATTCCCAGGTTATTTAAATGTGAATTATTTTATTCTGTCACAACCTTTTGGTGCATAATTAAGAAAAATGAATAATTTTCCCCAAAATTTCATGCCCAGACCTTTAAAATGAGACCCCTCCCAGCTTTCTACGCCCTCCGGTTCGCTCACAATTTCATTGTAAAATTTTGGGCTTACGGAATTAGATATATAGACTCGCCTTTGGCTCGCTGGGGGCTCCGCCCCCAGGCCCCCTTTTTTGGTTGGGGATAAAAAGAAATGGGCCATGGCGCAAGACCTGCAATTGAGCCAAATTTCACAGATCTTTAGCTAATCTAGAAGTGGGTAAAATTGATTTAGACCGATGCACCTGTAGGAATAACATTGGGGGGGGGGATTCTATATTTCGTGGGGGTGGGTGTTATATTTGTAAAATGTCACTTTTCGGAAAGGGCGCAAGATCTACAATCATTCAAAATTTCAGATATCCAGTTAATCTAGAAATGTGTAAACGTGATTTAGACTTATGCACCTGTAAGAATAACATTGGGGGGTATTTAATATTAAGGGGGGGGGTTGTAAATACGATAGGGGGATGAAACCTTAAGTAAACCAGAGTAAATCTATAGCATGAACGGACCATGGGAACGGGGACTTATGGTGGTTTTTATGGGGTAAATGTTTTCTCCATAAGAATAACATGGGGCTCGTAAAAACTTTCAAATGTTGACATTAAACCTAAGTTTTGGGGGTTAAGGAGTAAAGTTACGAAAAAACACGTACCGTGTAAAATTTAAACTAAAGTAAGGAGAATACAAAGCAATAATAATATTTGCAAAAAAGGAATGATTTAATTTAAGTATGAAAAAATAGCAAAAACCGGTAAAAAGTTGAAAGAAATTTACCAAATTTTGAAAGTAGGGAGTTTTTTGAACCCGAAAGAGGGTGATTTTCGGAAAACACATAAGAGGGTTTTGTAGAAAATTTAATTCCTGTTCCTGGATATTCTTTCAAATCTTTTCTAGCTCTTACTGTTTTCGAGCTAAATCCGTTTGGAAAAAACGTGTTTTATCGTTTTCAGAGGTCCGCCATTTTGGATTTTTGGCGGGGTTAAAATTTGAAAATGGGACTTTTGCAAATTTCACCGTTAATATAAGATCCCCTACAACAATAATACCAAGTTTCAAGTCTCTAGCACGTTTCTAAACGGTTCAGATGAGCACACCAAAGTCGACCACTTTCAATGTTATTCTCCATAAGAATGACATGGGGCTTGTAAAAGTGGCAAAAAACCTTCAAATTTTGAGATTGAAATTAAGTTTTGGGGGTCAAGGAGTAAAGTTACCAAAAAACATGTAAAGAGTGAAATTTAAAGTAAAGTAAGGATAATATAAAGCAATAATAATTTTTGAAAAAAAATAATTATTTAAGTATGAAAACATGGCGAAAACCGGTAAAACTTTAATAAAAATTTACCAAATTTTGAAAGTAGGGCGTTTTTTGAAGCTGAAGGAGTGCGATTTTTGGAAAACGCCTAAGAGGGTTTTGTATAAAATGTAATTCCTGTTCCTGAATATACTTTCAAATCTTTCTAGCTCTTACTGTTTTCGAGCTAAATCCGTTTGAAAAAAACGTGTTTTATCGTTTTCAGAGGTCCGCCATTTTGGATTTTTGGGGGGGTTAAAATTTGAAAATGGGACTTTTGAAAATTTCACCATTAGCTTATCATCCCTTACTACAATACTACCAAATTACAAGTCTCTAGCACATTTCTAAACGATTCATATGACCATACCAAAACATTAAATTTCAATCTTATTCTCCATAAGAATAACATGGGGCTCGTAAAATTGGCAAAAAACCTTCAAATTTTGAGATTAAAATTAAGTTTTGGGGGTCAAGGAGTAAAGTTACGAAAAAACATGTATGGAGTAAAATTTAAAGTAAAGTAAGGAGAATGCAAAGCAATAATAGTTTTTGAAAAAAATAATTATTTAAGTATGAAAACATGGCGAAAACCGGTAAAAATGTAATAAAAATTTACCAATTTTTGAAAGTAGGGCGTTTTTTGAAGCTGAAGGAGTCCGATTTTTGGAAAACGCCAAAGAGGGTTTTGTAGAAAATTTAATTCCTGTTCCTGCATATACTTTCAAATCTTTTCTATCTCTTACCGTTTTCGAGCTACATCCGGTTGAAAAAAAAGTGTTTTTTCGTTTTCAGAGGTCCGCCATTTTGGATTTTTGAGGGGGTTAAAATTTGAAAATGGGACTTTTGCCAATTCCACCAGTAATGTAAGATCGCATACTGCAATACTACGCAAATTTGAAGTCTCTACCACGTTTCTAAGTGGTTCAGATGAGCATACCAAAGTCGGTAATTTTCAATGTTATTTCCCATAAGAATAACATTGGGGGGGAAATTCTTTAATAAGGGGGGGTTAAAATAAAAAAATGCGACTTTTGAGAATTTTCCCGGGGGTTTAGTACCAAGACCGACAATCGTGCCAAATTTCAACTCCCTAGCACGTCTAGAAGTGGTCTAGAATTTGTATCCCCATTGAGTGAGTTACACATCGGGCTGTATAGTTATTTAGATTTAACTGTTCTCTCTCCTACCAAAACTTAATCAGTTGTTTTAATTCAAACAAAATGTCAAAACAATGTTTATGCAAGTATAGGCTATTATAAACGAGCGACCTTTCATCGACTGTAAAATAAATGAATAAGAATTGCCAGGTTAACATTTCCATCATAATACAATGAAATTCTACTGAAACTTAGATAATACTGTAAAAGGCAAAACTAGTTGTAAATAAAACGTGAGTTTCTTTTATATTGCTTTTACAATCGAAATAAACTACACCGAGCCATGACTCGGTCCCCAGGTACTATGAATTAATTGCGCCATGAGCCAAGAATCTTACATTTTGCTACCGTTAACGTGATTTGAAAGACGCATAGTGGTTACTAAAGGGGAGAAATTATCAGAGCATCAATACACATAAAGTAAAACTATTTACTTTGAATGGTGTAACTCGTTTTAATGTGTGTTTGAGTGCTGGTTCAGATCGAGTGCGTTGTTGACGTGTTTCTTACTAAATTTAGGATAGAATTTGAAGTTTGTGCTTTTCTCTTTGGTTAGAAAACAAGCGTTAGTTTACAAATGGATCGTTGTATTTAGTTTGAAAGATAAGTTCGTTTATGTTTTCCAAATAGGTAGTAAGAAACTAATAGGAAACAAAAACACTTATTAATTAACCGAACAGACGCAAAAATGCAATTTCTTGTGGTTTAATATTTAGCCTCAAAACAATAAGTGCAAATATATGATTTTGATTTGTTAAAATCAACGATATACAACAATTTGAATTTGTTTACGGCTTTTTAGTAAAGTTCAACGAGATAACAAAGAAAACAGCCTGTCTACAAAAACCGCACAGGGGCTTGCCTTAAAATCTTTAACTGATAAGGAATGATGTGGAGCTTTAAGGTGGTCTTGATCTACTATTTTGAAAATTATGCAACAAAATGCGGCGAGTCAAGACAGCTAACTGCACAAAATAACGAAACGAATAACGTTTTAACAAACAACGAACGAATAACGTTTTAATTCGACAGAATTTTATTTGGCTAATTCTCAATTTCTAAAGTAAAAAATCTGAAACTCTGTTGTAATGAGAGTATTTTGACATTGACGTTAATGGATCATATGAAAAGTCTACCAATAAAGTCACATTTCAGTAATCCCACAAAAGTATACCAAGATTTCCGTTATGTTTAAGCTTTTGTTTGCAACATATGAACGATTAAGTTCACCATAATTAAGTACGCAAATTTTATCTTCTGTGGTTTCTTGCAGCTGGTATTGTTTGCTGAGTTTTCCCAGGCGCGGACAGTGGAGTGCGGAGAGGCAGTTTTATCAATCAGCATGGATGACAAACATTCTTAAAATTTAAAATTATATAGATGAATACTTGGGGGTACATTTTGTTGGTTAGACTGTTAGACTATCCAACTGCGTGGTTCAGCAAGTAAAAATGTTATCAATGTAATTTTGCGAATGGAAAGTTCCAATATAAAGAGCCTCTTTGATAGGCAACATTATATGGTAAACATTATCATAAAATGTCGATAAGAGATAGTCAGTAACTTCTTATCAGTTACTATTCGCAATGTGAAATGCCATGAACCCATACGAAATCCTTAAGCCAACTTCACACTCATTATCACTGTCTGATGGAAATACTGAACAGGGTTATTTAATTGATTAATTAATAGTAAAAACTATTCGAATTTGTTTTCGGAACTCCCTCTATAGGTGAATAAGTCAGTGAGTTTGTTCTTGGTTCTTAACAGCCTAACCGATAACTATCCTCGATCAGTTGTCCTGAATTTGTTACGCTTTTAGTAAATTTAGTTCTGCTCTAGCTGTAGAAACGACTGGCCTCATCTCACTCATTTTCCATTCATAGTTGGGTTCAAATACACCTTCGTTGCGTCCCCATAACAGTATGTTGATATGCAAGAATGGGCGCGGTTTTTATGCTCTCAATTTCGGATTGTGGGACTGTCGATGATGAGGGGTGGGCATTAATTGCGCCAAAGTGACCTGAGTCAGGTAGTCGGGTATTCCTGAATTGCTTCAACTACTTCAGGGAGTACCCAACTCTTTGACTGTATAATTGAGTAGGCTAGATATCGTGTGCTACGTCTATGGTCCTGGCTTAGGCTTGGCGTTTCTAAGGAACATTTTGTGAGACCTTTAGAGGGCTTGGCGCAATTAAGGAACTCTTTGGCGTAATTAATGCGAGTGATGTAAGATGTAACCGGTCCAGTCGATACCCCATAAAAGTCAAAAAGGTATTTTAGCTTGTTAACTTGACTAAATCCTTAAATGTTTCTAGTTGAATTTAAAAAGTATTAGAAAAATACAGTCACAGTGTACTGTAGATATTTAACACGACTTTCTATTAATATTCTATCGTATTGGAAATCTATTCGATTATAAATCAGTCCGGCTGTATCTAAATTTCCTAATAAAGATTATATTAAATGAAATTGTTACTTGACCTTTCATACTGCGTTGTTTTTGTTTGATAAACAAAATTATGTCCATCACGTGTTACACTCAAAACGTTTTAATTTTTTTTTTATTTTATGCAGACGATTCCTTACAAAACAAATCTATTTCTTAAATTGTTTTGACGGAAAATCTGCACAAACCAACTAAGCAATTAATAGCATAGACAAAAAAATTAAATATATACTGTAGACCATGAGCTGTGACCGTCTATATTTAATTATTCTTTTTGTCTATGGCAATAGTTAACAAAACAACATTATTGACAGTTAGATTCCCTAGCGCTATCTATGAAAGCATCCATAGATTGTCTAAATATTAACAATAATTTATTGATTATTCAAAACAGTAGCCTAACAGATTAGGTGCAGTGCACCTAACGTCCTACCTACTAAAAAACGCAGGCAAGAACCACAAAGGTAATCAATCTACAATGTGCAATACTAATAAATAAATAATAATAATAAAGTGCTGTCCATTTTGACAGACATACTAAATAGAATTGGTTCTTTAAATAGAAATCAAAAAATTCGAAAAATGAATATATGCTACAAAAAGAAGAGATCAAAATTAAGGAAAGAAAGTTTTTTAGGTGCACAAATGCAACGTGCTGCAGTACAATATTACGAACTCTGAGGTTATTTTGGAAAACATCCCTCTGGACACCATCGTTATTACGCTAAAGTAATTCATTCCAAGAAGCAGTGGGCTATTATACTATATAGAGATCAATGAGATAATGGCAATCTTTTAGAAAACCATTTTCCCTGTCGTCATAAGAACGTGGCAAATAAATTTAAACAAATAAATGCTCAATTTTTATAACAGCTATTGTGAAGAGCTTAACAAATAATTTTGCGCGTTGGCAGTGTTGTTATACAGTTTAGAGGTAGGTAACGGAGAAAATAGAAAAACCGTATAATTTTAATTGAGGTGGGTCATAGCAAAACTGGCTAAGTGAATTTTTTTTTTAATTATATTTTTACGTTTTATTATTCTATGGGAGTCAATACACCAGACCGTGTGCTCAGTTTATGTCAAAACTGGCTAGAGCCTATTTCCTATTAAAAAATCATTCTTAAGTTTAGCGGTTGCAGCAGAACTCGCCTTTTCCATCCCAACTTTTGTAGCAGAACTGGTCACTTGCTAACAACCAATGGTAGCGCAGCTTATGATCGCGTGACTTTCAGTTTGTTTAGTATTTGATTTAACGTTAATTATTAAAATATGGAGACAACAATATTTCCATTTTACGCTTAGGCCTATGAAGGAAAAGAAAAGTTTGTAGTTTGCTTGTTTACAGGTACAAGTATGTTGTTAAAATATGAACAATTTAGTTATTTCATCCACTACTTAAAGTTAAAAAAAGTTTAACCACTGTTAGCAGCAAACCTAAGCAATCGTTAAATCTAATTCTATTTAAATGAGTTATACCCTATTACCTGTTTATGGAAATATTTTAGTAAAGAAAATACAATGAGACAAATTGAGATTCGCTTGGCATACAGGTATTCTGTGGCGGGGGTATTTATTTGTCATGACATCGAGTTAAAGGTGGCCGTGATCAAATCAACTGATTTGGTAAAATGGTAAACTCAATTCTGTACCACTGTACTAACATAGATTAAACATACTCCTTAAGGTAACCGAAGGGATGATGTTTAATCTATGGTACTAATATATAGAGCTACATGACATTTAGCAATGCCTTCTGAAAAGTAAACTAAAACTTGATGAATGACAATGAATGAAAGATAAATAAAAATATTGAAGGAATTTGAGGTTATGTTCTTTGAATGATGTAAGTCAGACCAGCCTGCCTGCCGTCAGCACTGTATTTATTATTTTATTTTATTGTGTATTAATTTAAGGTAAGAATCATGTATGGGTTGAAAACTATGATATATAAGTGAACAATAATGAAATATGTAAACACTTAGTCTAGCGATACGGTAACTTTGTTTATGAAAATTGTCCGCTTAATGATCTGTTTATAGGTTAGTTTTGTACTTTACTTGTATTTTTTATTATTCAGGAAAAAATACACGATTCGCGATGCCATCAATGTGCAGTATTCAATATCCGCGGCTCAGTTTCATGAATAGCTTAGACCTAGACCTACTTACTATCAACATGCTAGCAATTCACTTACAGACCAGCCTAACTTGATGTTTCCATTTTCCTATTCCTTAAGGTAGGCCTATTATGGTAGGCCTAAATGGACAAAACCATAAGCCAGTCGACGGCTGCACTTTACTTTAGGTCCTACACTCATTCAAGGAACTAGACGTAAAATTAGAAGCATTCAATTTGAAGATGGTGCCCCAATTCCCCCATTGCTCTATTGAGCTTTCATTTTATTTTTTTATACATCCCAAGTAGCTAGTATTTTAAAATTAAAATCTTTTCTATGTAATTTTGTAAATAAAATTTGTTTTTATTGTTTGTTTTATTTGATATATCGTTTGGTTACTTAGGTAGGTTAACCTAACCTAACTAGACTAACCAAGCGATATATCGAATGAAACAATCAAATAATCGATATTTTCATTCCAATGAGTGTAGGACCTAAAGTAAAGTGCAGCCCAGTCGACCCTCTCTACTGCAAACATAAAGAATATTCTGTCCCTCTAAGTTTTACTAAATTTACTGAAGTCTAGTTTGGTCCTGATCAGAACTGTTTTATTAAGTTAGTTTATTAATTTCATACGGAATAACCATTTAGTTAATTAGTTATTACACCTTTAGGACTACCTACCGTAGGCTATTTGTATAGATACAGGTCAGTACCGGTAGTTTCTCTTTGTTGTCAGAAAAGTTAACAGATATTTAATATTTTTTAGCAAGATGATCGAAAATGACAGCGACATTGGAGAGGATGAGATGGAAGAAATTGATGAAGATGATATTGAGGAGGTTTTAGATAATATTGTAGGTGAAGGGGAGGAGAGTGAGGAAGAAGATCAAAACGATGAAAGAGATGAAGGACCAGGTTCCCCTGAACGGGATGATGCAGACTTTGTTTTCCAGAAACATACAGGTAACTTAAGCCTAACTTTATTAACCCTGAAGTGGTTGCGTGGTTTTATGTGACACTAAAAGGGGTCAAAATTCCAAACCACCATTTTCAAGTTTTTTGAATTAAAATTAAGAAGAAAAATCCCAGGAGCTAGTTTGCCCCCTCATTAGAAAGTGAGTAACAGATGAAATATGATTTAACAGGAGGAAGGGGGTGCCATTTGAAGGTACCAAGACCTACAACACTATTGACAACCCCTAAATAGCTACCAGATATACAAAATTACCAACCTAGGGGTCTCACAGAACCCCGCACGACCACTAATACCAACATTAACATTATTCACAATGGGTAAAACATTACCTAATCATTGAAAGTTAGAGGGTATATGTCAAGGCCTTTATGGCTGTGATCCATAAATAGCTCTATCAGATATAAAAAATTACCAACCTAGGGGTCTCACAGAACCCCGCGCGACCACTAAATACCAACATTAACATTAATCACCATGGTTAAAAAACTTTAATCATTGAAAGTTAGAGGGTATGTCTAGGCCTTTATAGGTGTGTCTGTATCATGAAAATAGGCCTCTATAAAGTGACTAAAATATTTGCTTAAAAACGTAGAGTTGGATTCCAATCACCATACTTTTGATAAAAACAATAACATAAATTAACCTTAATACAGTTTTTTCTTTGTTTATCCTTGGAGAAATCACTATCGATAGCCTACTAGCTTTTACCCGCGGCTTCACCTGCAATGGTAGTCATTTAAATACTATGCAGCATAAGAAATTAAACAGAGTACCGGTATTACAATCATTAAAATTATTATCCGTATTGGCTTCGCCAATTATCACAAAAATAAGATATTAGGCTACCGTATCATTATTCATTGCGTCACGCACAGTTAGAAAAATCATGTTACGAGTAAAAATTCTACAGCGATTAAATTACAATTAAATACTTATTGAAACCCATTTGTTTAATCTCAGACAACAAATCTTACAAAACTAAGTTTTTGTGATAGGCCCAATTTTAATTGTAAAACTTTCGGTGGGGCATAGACCTTCTTTATTTAATTCCCAACATGTTTTAAGGCTGAGAGACTAAATTATTTTATTTATAGTTTGGAACTTTAAATATTAGGAAATTAGACGATCTTGCCAGTTTTAAAGACATTTCAATTTCAAGTAATTTTTCAGGTCCTGTATTCTGTTGTGCATTGGAGCCAAAAAACGGCAATTTGGCAGTAACTGGAGGTCAAGACGATATGGCTTATGTCTGGGAAATACACAACGGGCAGATTCTATTTGAGTGTTCCGGTCACAAGGTAATACACAGTTTTAGATACAAGACACAAAAGTTGGATTCAAATGTGAAAATTAACTAATGAATGACTATTGTAATTACTAAGTTATATAAAACAATAAAGAACTTAGGACCTACTAGAAAAAGAGTAGGTAGATGTTGTTTACATTATATCAGCAGCAAAACATATGGAAGACTTAAGGATTATAATCTGGATCTGACAGTTGTCCATTGAATTAACTTATACTTTTAGAATCCTGCAGCATTTTAAAAGGTTAGCAACTTGCATTATCAGTCCACATGGGTTTCTTTTCTGTGTCTAAAACATTAAGTAAGAGCGATCTGACAGAGTACAAGTATAACCTGTAGGCAGTGGCGGCTCCAGGACTGGACACTACAACATCGCTGCCTTGGATTGTAGGCTAATCTGTTTGGCTACCAACTGAGCCCCCGACACACCAATACATTTACGTTCATACAATGTACAAAATATAGACATTTTGTCAAAAGGAAATTGTTATTACAAGTTTATTAATATTATAAACTGCCACAACTTAAACATTTTTTATAATTTTCTTTTATTTGGACAGAACTATATAGGCCTAACATAACATTTGATTTTCTAAGACAAGTCACAAATACACTGACGTTTGGAAGAAGGTAGGTGTTGTATAATCAAATACAATATAATTGGAAGTTAATTGAAGAAGTTTTATTTACATCAATGTTTTAGAAAAGTGTGTTCCTATGTAGCCTATTATTTAGGTAATGTTCAGTTAGTTATAATTAGGTGCTAGTAATGAATGTTTCAAGGCTAAAATTATGGTATATCATTCTAACTAAGTGATACATGACAGTGCATCAATGGTGTTTATTCCTATCTAATCTGCTGATAAATGTTACAGGACAGTGTTTCGATGGCGGCATTCAGTTACGACGGTTCCTATGTCGCGACTGGAGACATGAGTGGCCTCATTCAAGTGTGGAAAGTTGCGACTCATGCTCTCGTCTGGAGTGATACTGTGGGGGATCTGTCAGTACGTTGAAATTTACTGAATGATACTCTAACATAAGTAGGGTGTCAAGTCAACAACATCTAAAAAGCCTTAATATCCTGAACAATGCTCTTATAGTAAGTTCGTGTAGGCTATGTCCTTAAAAACACAAAGTTTAAAACTTGATTACGCTTAGTAGGCCTACTATGTCACAACCTTTTACTAATTAAGTATTCAAATAAATTGTCTTTTAATCATAAATATCCTTATGCAGCTGAGAGATGACGTGTTCTTTGCTAATTTCATTTTACATTTACAGTGAATTGAGATTTGCAGAGTTGATAAACTAGGTAATGACTTAATTATTGTCAGCTAAAAACAGTGTTTATAACAAGAACATTCTTGCGTTATTATACAATTCACCATATCATATTATGTCTAAATATCTAAGTATCTAAGAATATCTAAAAGTGTAGCAAAATTTGTTTAAATTTTGCACAAAATATCCCTGAAAGTTGTCCCCAGAAAGGTAGTTTTGTTAAGCTTGTTGAGGCCCCAGAAAACTTACAAAAACCACCTGGGTTTTTCATGGCAATTATGGCAAGTTAGTAGGCCTATAATATAATAAGCTTAGAAGTTGAGATTTATGCACATTATTGTGATAACTAAGTAATATATGTTAATGTTAGACTATATTTCTGAAATCTGAGAACTATTCAAATAATCTTTAACATTGTTCGTTAAAAAATATTATTTGATTCTTCTGTCATTTTTGTTGAACATGGATACTTATTTTATTTCAATACCAAAAAATTGTATATTTCCTTTTCAAAATACATAGCCCACATCCTAAACTAACTTAACCTGACCCAATGCATTGAAAGGAAGTGGTGTGGATCTATTTGACCTGATAAACAATTGTTTAAAATAAGTATAAAAGACATATTTTAACAATTGATATAAACAATAACTCAACTTACCTTGTAGCGGTCCCAGTAGCTCAGTCTAGGGGGTGGGGGGTTTGACCAAAATTTCAAACTAATTTCTTCAAAATTCAATAGCCTAATATTTCTTTATCAGTTTTTTTTTGTATATTTTTTTTTGTATTTTTCTTGGTATACCTTTTTTTTTGTTTTTGTTTTAAGAGGGCGCCACCTTGTTTTCAAAGCAGGGGGGAAGGGTTATAACAAGGAAAAAACCCATATATGATATAAAAATAGTGAAGGTGAGATATCACTTGACAACCAATATGAATTAAAGATCTATGAAATAAAACAAGTCTAGGATGATTCTAATCACTAAACACTAGCAAGAGTGATAACACACTTAAATATTCTACCAAATAAAACCCTTTATCAAAATAGTTTAATGAAATTCCAAATTATTTACTGGTAGATAAGTTGATAAAAATTGAGATAGAAAAATTTTTTAAAGTTTTGTGAACTATGAGGAATCAAGATTTTAAGTAAATGGCTAGATAATGAAAACACTTAAAATATGCAAACCTGGATTTATTACAATAAAGAATAGTAGAGTATCAAGTTTATAATCAGGCCTAAGCAATGTACTTTATAATACCAGAGAAATATAATCAAAATACCTTGGCCGGCCAGAAATTCCTGGAAAGATTATATCAGATATACACACACACTTAGGCTACAACTATACAAACACATAATAAATGGTGAGCTGACAACTCCTGAAAATGTGAATCAATATAAATCTATACACATATATACAATACCTAACCTAATACCCAAAATTCTCTAAACTTTATATATTTAAAATTAAGTCCCACTCCATCTTAAGTCAGTCTAGAGCCGTTGATGGTCGTCCGAAGTCGAGTGTCCAGCACTAACACAATTCCGGTATATGATCCTTGACTTTATCAGTAGTATTTCAATAAAGTTCCTGGTTATCCTTAATTTGGCCTCAAAGATCAAATTCTAACTAACTGGTACCAGTAATAAAGAGTTCAAAAAGTTCATCGAAAGAAATTAAATAAGATATATGATATGAGGTATGCCACTTATCGGTACGATGTATACAGCAGGTACGAGAAGGTAGCGACCAAGTCGGTTGTGGGTCAACAAGTCGTGGTGTCAGCAGAACCCAGGTATAGGTACAGGTAGGCAGTAGGTAGGTGACGACAACTGTAGTGGCTCACTGTAGTCAGGCACGTCTTCTCCCAGAGTAATCCCTGAGCATATACAAGAAATAGAAACTAAACCCTAATTGAGATATACTATTCACTAACATTTAAAACTGTGGACCTTTGTCTATACTAACAGTGAGAAAATTGATTCTTGAAATTAATCTCAATTTTAAAACAAGAAAAATAAATATTTTAAGTACAACATTTAATTATTATCTACAAAACATGTTCAAATTATGACATCATTTACAACCTATTTAAGTTGATAATTAAATTGGATTTCTACAAAATAAACAAATTCTTACTGGCAGGGAGTGTACGTTAACGTTACGTTGTATGGTACATTTAAACTTGGACAAATTAGTCAAATTGTCTTGTAACTTCAAAAAAATAATGTCAGCAACACTTTAACCACAAATAAGATTTCTGTAACACATAAATTTATTTATAAACTATTTCTTGATATTTCAACCCTAGCCTAGGTTTCATAACATATCCAAATAAATTTTCATAAACATTTAAATCACCACTGGTACATATTAAAATCATCTTATTGCATAAAAAAAACAATCAAACATTTAATTTAATATCCAGTTGACCCTAGAAATAATAAAACAGTAATACATTGTAGTAAGTTGATTTTAGGAATTGAATCACATGTCTGTAGGACATGAAAGTTTCAAATTTAAACCTGTCTCATGTTGCATAAGGCTTAAACAATTTTTGATTTATACAAGTTTAAATAACAAAATAAATAACTGGAAGTAAAGGCAAAGTGACATAAAGAGAAATTTAACACATTTACAACAAAACATTTACAAATATTTAACACAACTATCATTTTACATATTTTACATTTTACAAGTTATCATGTTTGTTCATTCTGGTTGTCAAATCATTTTATTCATAAAATATTATAATTCCAAATTTCAACAAAGTTAACTTTTAAGTTCAAAATCTCAAAACATTATTTATAAAATCATTTTATAGTTTGTCAAAAGAAAATACCTCACCTTAGCTAGATCCATAAAATGGGCAAGGAGGGAGTATAGACATGAAGATAGATTTCTGGATGTAGATGTCTTCACTGGCAACCTGACACTGAGAATTTAGGAAGAGACAAGGGGGGAGAGGTTATGCAGAGTAAAACATGTTTGTGTTTGCCTTTGTTAACTTGGAAAGTCCAGCTGATTATTGTTAGGCCGGCTGGAGCTGCAGCTATCCAACTGATAAACTTACTGACAGGGTGATCAGTCCTGTATGCCCAATGATTAAAATTCAACTTTTCTTTCCTGTTAAATAATTGTTGTAAAACTGTTACATCACCCCCTCCGCCATGAGAAAATTTCCCAAATTTTCTTCAGTTACTGAATGTATGGTTTCAAATCTGAGGTGTGCCAAGTTCCTACAGGTTGTCCATCTTCTGACTCAAGTTGATAAGTTACTGGTGATATTTTCTTTTTGATGACAAAAGGTCCAACAAATTTATAAAACAACTTAGAAGACTTGTAGTTAGCTGCATCTGCCTGAGCAAAATTCCGCTTCAACACTAGTTGACCTTCTTCAAACTGCTGTTCTCTTCTTCGTAAATTGTAGCGTTGGGCATTCTTCTCATGGGCTTTCTTTATCCGTTCCTTGACTTCCTGGAAGACGTCAGACAAGCGTTGTAGTTTTTGGAGGTGATCACCAACATCAGTAGTTTGAGGTAATTCTTCATAGAAACCTTCTGATCCTTTACCTGACAAGTTGATCTCATGTCCAAAAACAAGAAATGCTGGGGAATGCCCTGTAGTCTCATGAACTGCTGTTCTCAAGGCACAGGCAATATGAGGAAGTTTGGCATCCCAGTGGCGATGATTATCTCCAACGTAGGATCTCAACATGTTCCCTATTGTTCGGTTGACTCTTTCTGTTGGGTTTGCCTGAGGATGTCGACTGGGTGTGTAGATGGTCTTCACTTTGTATTCTCTTAACAAGTCTTTAAAAGGTTTACCGACAAATTCGGATCCATTGTCACAAATGATTTGATTCGGAACCCCATAAACCAAGAAAACGTCTTCTTCTAAATGCTGTGACACCAGTTTTGCTGTAGCTGCCCTCAAAGGAAATAATAAACTGTATTTGCTAAAATAGTCGACAACTACCATGATATACTTAAAGCCTTTCGAAGATCTTACAAAAGGGCCAATTAAATCTAAACTAATACATTGCCAAGGTTGATCTACAACTCTTTGAGCTCCCATGAATCCTGCTGGTTTTGATGTATTGTTCTTGGATTGTTGACAGATCTTGCATCGAGAGACGTAGGTTGCTGTGTCTTTTCTCATCTTAGGCCAATAATAATTCTTCAGGAGTCTGTGGTAGGTTTTGTAGGTTCCCATATGTCCAGAAGTTGGAGCGTCATGACACTCTTTGAAAACAGCTTGGCGTTGGTCTTTGGGTATAACCAGCTTCCAATCTTCTTTATCATCACCGACTGAGTAGGTTGAAGGGACACACTTCCAAAGTTGATTATCAACTACCTTCCAAGAGGAGTAGAGGTCAGGACTTTTGTTTGTAAGATCTAACATTCGGAGGTACCACTTATCTTTTATAGGGAAATCAATGGAAATGGAATCAATAGTTGGTTCCGTAGGTACGGACTTCAAAGGGTTACGTGACAAAAGGTCAGGCACGACATGTTCTTTACCCTTTCGATGGACCAAAGTAAAATCAAAGGGTTGGAGTCGAAGGGACCAACGAGCCAATCTGCCTTGTGGGTCTTTCAAATTATGAAGCCATAAGAGGCTGTGGTGATCAGTGATTACTTCAAAATGCGTACCCTCTATATATGGACGGAACTTTTCAACTGACCAAATTACTGCCAAACACTCCCTCTCTGTGGCTG